ATTTTTTTTCCTCCTGCAACTCAGCATGGTACAGAGAATGCTTAGCCAAGCCAGATGGACAAGTCATTAATAGACAATATTCTGCTAGGAATATATAAGTTATATCTGGCAGACTTTATTCAAGGTCCAAAGTTTGAAGTTTCAGTTATGGCCATGCCGATCACATCGAACTTGAAGTAAGAGCTGCTCTCCTGATTTAAAAGGGTCTGGATAGCAAATTGTAGGGCACCAGCTTAATGTATAAAGGAATGAGTTGCAAATAAAATTCTCAAAATGAGTCATCCTTAAGTTTCAGCAACCAGCAAGCAGACACCATAGGTAGTAGTCTAGGTCCCCTCCCTGGGTGCTATTTTTCACTTTTAATGGCCCTGCATGAGTATATGGTCCCATTTTTCTTTATAATTAGAGCTAATAAATGTCTTCAAGTGGATGCTTATGGTAGACTTTGGAAATATTAATCTGTTATTACCAGAGTTACATTGTGAAGGAGAAGGCTGAATTTTAATATGGAAAATACAGCCAAAGCTTCACTCATATCAAAACAAAAAGGAAGCAAAAATTAATCCCCTGGGGCTGTTATCTGATGTCTGATCAGAGACATGAGAGTAACTGGCTTGTTTTAATGCTTCAACTGCTTCCATTTTATTACTTGGAAAGTTGTTCAATTATTCAAACACTGCCACAGGAGAAGGAAAATGGAATTTGGAGTTAAAGGTGTAAGATTAAAATGCCAAGCCTGTCATTTAATGAGTGGTATATTCAATTATTTTTCAGAAACATTCACTTCTTCCTTTTAACCACCTCCATAACAGTACCTACTGCTTGATGTTGGCATTAGGCACATGACTTGTACTGACCAGTGGAATCGTGGCAGCCATGATGTAAGCAAAGAATGATACAGACATGTGTTGGGTGCATGGGTTCTTGCACTCTGGCTGAGCTGGTCCACTGGTCCAAGAGGAAGAGAGACCTGGGACCAGACTCATTCCAATCTGCAGTTTGGAGTCACTCTGCCAAACCCAGCCAGGATCAGCCAATCCTCAGCTGACCACTAAACATTTAAGCAAAAATAAATGACTATTGCCTTATGTTTGGGGATGCTTTGTAATGCCTCAATTCTTGATTGACACATTGGCAAAGACTTGGCTTTAGTTAACATGGCTGTTATTATGGCTACATCATTGAGTGATCTAAATGACATGGTATCCCACTCCTGCCTAGGTAAATAAATGATAATTTAGCTAAACCGGGATGACACTTCTCAAAATTCCCTTCCCTATAAGGTCCTGAGTTAGCACAGACCACAAGAGAAATTTTGTGCAAGATTTAGAAGTCTGAAGTGAAGCAACATTCTTTTTATGCTCTGAAAGTTGAAGCAGGGCACCAGCAGGAGTGGGTGCTTGTGTGTTGTTGCTAATCTGCTAGCTTGCTTTGTTGTGGGCTGTGTGCTGTGTAACTCTGTGGGGAGATGCAAGTTTCCCCTGGAAGTCACCCACAATGCTGAGGTTAAGGTAGTGAGACACATATAGGGCCCAATTTATATTTGCTCTTGTTCACAATAGCTACCTTAGGTTCAACATCAGATGCAAAGATTATAGCCTTTCCTTAATGTTTTCACAAACATGTAAAGTCATCCTTATTTTAAATTCCTTCATTTTCTTTCACTCGTGGTTTTTCTGCTTCATCTTGATTGCATCTTGATGCACTATGGCTGAGCCCATTGTTGTTTTAACCCAGACCATAGCATCTCGTCATTTCAGATGGAGCAAGAAATGTGTAAGATTAAACTATCATTTACTGAGTCCTAATTATGGTCAAATACTGTGTTAGCTGCTTTACATGCATTATCTCATTTAATTGATCGCAATTCCCCCATCCAGTCTGATTCACTCTCATCCTCATATCAACTGGTAGTTCAGAGATACCTGCTACTGCATTAATGCTCCAAGTCCTCACTGTCATTTGGAATTGTAGGCAGGGCACTCCAGTGCCCTCTGGAGTAATACTGGACAGCCTGTGCTAGCTCAGGCACAAATGTGGTACCCATTAAAGGCTTGTTTTCCCTGTTTCTTCCATCCTCAATCTTCGTTTTTGTCCAATGGTACAACTTATGACCCTATTAAAAACCAGTCCCCGTCTTAAGAATGAAGTCTGGCCCCAAATCTTTGTTCTAAATCTTTATGACTGCTACCTAGTCCTGCTACCATGGTCAGGTCTCAGAAAGGAAAAGCATGTCCCAGGTGTTGACCCTCCCGCCCGCCCGCCCCCACCACCGCCTCCGGGGCTGAAGCAATGCCTGTGGCTCTGTGACATGCCTCAGGATTCTCTTCTCTTACTCAATATTCCTTCTACTTGAGAACCACAATGTATTGAAAGTCTCCCCATCATCAAACACCTCCTCATTTGCCAGAGAGGGTCCAGGTGACTGTCTTCTTTGGAAACAGCCTACTGGGTACCTATTCCTCTAATCTGCATGGGTAGCTAGGTCAGTTTCCCAGCATTTGTCCTGTCTCAGGGAGTAAGTGTTGTCACAAGGTTTCCACAGGTTTTATAAAGATTAAAGTTAGTGGGGTTTCTAACCAAAGTATTCAAGAGAGTTGGAGTGGTCTTTGAGAATCAATAACTATGGTAGTTTTGTAATGCATTAACTTGGCTAAGCTGGGAGTTTGCAGAATTCTTTTCCCCAATATGGTTCCAGGTAACAGTTGGCTAAAAACAAGATTTAAGAAAGGTTTGGAAGATAGAAAGGAAGTGGCACCTGTGACTCTGAAGAGCGCTGCTGTTAGAGGAGGTGAGAAACAGACGTCATGGTGCAGACTAGGTATTTGTCCCCCTCCCCCTTTCCTGCTGGACATCTGCTTTTTTGGCTTATCAGCTCTATTGACCAACAGCACCCTAATCTCTCCACTAATGTTTGGGTGCAAATTCACAGAAGTAATAGTGACATCAGCCCCCTTCATGGTTCCCATTTCAGCAACTGGTTGCACCTCACTTTCAGATTTCTCTGCAAGCTTGAACTTGTTTGCTTTCATCAGGACTTGGGAAAGGCTGTTTAAGTGACTTTTCTTCCCTAATTTTACTAGTGAAGTCTGAAGGCCAGAAAACAAATTTCTTTTAAAAAATGCTAACTTGCCTTCCTAGAATCTGACCAATATTCATTCAGAAATCTACAGAGTTGTTCTCCCCCCCCCCCCCCCCCCGAGTTTTAGGACTCTTCTTCTGCAAGTGTATAGAGGAGGGTGGCGATTCCCTCATCCAACCTCCATCCCCATTTTAAGCAATTTTTGGAGCCAGGGGTTAGTATTTTTAACTGTGATTTCTGTTTTATGCTCTTTGTTTTAAACCCTTATCAGGAAATAATTTGTAAAATGGTCTCCCAGTGGAATATGTAATCATTAGCAATTTGCTTTGTGGGAAGTAGGGAACGGCAGGTACCCCTGGAACAAGTTAAAGAACTCCTAATTACTTACACCTGCAGAAGCTGTCGCTTTTGCAAAGTATGTAATTAGCAGCCAGTGCGAATGCTGGCAAATGTGATTGTCTGTTTAAATAGAGGACACAGCCCAGAGGCTACTGAGACTGGGGCTCTCCCACCGGGTACATTAGCCCAGCCTGGGCTCCCCCTGCTGGTTGCTTGTTAAGGCCAATTGCAGGTCTGATACAAGCACGTGGCCAATTAAGCCCACATTCATTGTTCCATGTGCAAAGCAGGTGTGAACATTTTTTAAAAAATTGGGCCCTTTGTACTTTGCAATTATGAATTTTCTGCCTTTTTAGCCCAGTGGCTCTCTGCATTGGCTGCACATTACAATCATCAGGGATGCTTTTCAAAAATCCTGATGCCCAAGCTGTTCCCAGACCAGTTAAATTTCCGTGACATCGGTTTTTAAAGTAACCCAGGTGATTACAAATCTGTCAGCAAGTTTGAAAACCAGTGGTTCTCAAACTTTGGCTGCATCAGAATCAGCTTGGGTGCTTGTTAAAGTACAGGTTGCTGGGCTCCATCGCCAGATTCAGTAAAGTGAATGGTGGGAGCATCCAAAACTTTGCACTTCTAAAGATGCTGCCAATGCGCACGACAATGTTGAATTCCTTTTGGACTTAGAATGCCTTTTTTTTGCACAATAAGCATTATACCAAATACTTTGCAGTTATTAATTCATTTAATCATTTATCACACAGTTGTTTGATCCTTTAGGTCTCAGAAAAAGTGCTACATACGTGACATCTATTCTTTAAAAAGGTACCTGTCCCTGTTACCATCATATTATCTAGTCTATTTCCCTTAGAACTTTAGCCAATCTACTTTATTTCCCGGCTCCTCTAGGTGCACATAAGCTCCATTGTGGCCATGTCCACAGACACTTGCTGAATGAGTTCACAGAGCAACCCTAATGGGGAAGTCATATGGTCTACATTTTGTGGGACAAGACATAGATTTAAGTAACTTGCTTAAGATCATATTGGAGGAATTAAGATTCAAATTGTGTTCTCTCCAGAGCTGGGCTGTCAAACCACTTCAAGAATTGATCACCAGCCTTAAATACAGTATCAGTTCTTTCCCATCAATAAAATGAATTACTCACCTAAGAATGCCAATTATTTTTGGTTTTACTAACAGTTAAGTTAAAGCTAACTTTTTTTAAACAATAAAAGTCCAGAGTCCAAATCCAAGTGGCCAAACTGTACTAACATCAGCAATTTCTTTACTATTTAAAAACTCTATTGTCTGCTATGCTTGATGCAGTAATGAGTGCCTATAGTACCAGCTATTGGGAGGCTGAGACAGGAGGATAACTCAAGTCCAGAGGTTCTAGGTCACTCTGGGCAACAGTGAGAGACCATCTCAGAACAAAACAAAACTTCTACTGCCTGTGTCAGAAACCTACTTAGAATGCCCCAAAGCAGATTAAGGTTTCTACCTTATATAAAATCACCACACCAAAACCTTTCAATGTAATATTTTGATATTTAAAAGAAGAGTTATGTGAAAACAAGAGAACTTAAATTATCAGATTTTATTTAGTACGCCAATACAATTTATCCTGGTAATAAATTAATATGTAGTTATAAAAATGTTTGTGCTATCCAAGAAAAATGCTTTTTAATGTATAAAGTATATGCAGATCCTTCAAACAGCCGACTTAATTTTCAAACTCAGAAATGTGGTAACATCGCTGATAAAAATTGGGAATTTTCCTGAATTCATGATTCATAAGTTTTGAGTTTATCAAGGTTTCAATTGCCCTTTCCATTCTGGCAATCGCCCACACCTGAAATGAGAACTGATAGCTGAAAACGTTCTGATCCCATCTCCTATACCTGTAAAGGTGAGGGATCCACTGGCCTGAACTCAAGACCCCAGAGCTAATCAGACAGAGATTGGATTAAATCAGTTCACAGAGGTGCTCCACAAATGTCTGTGGGGCTAAATAAGGCACAAGCATCACTCAGAACTCCAATCATACCTGAAAAACGTTGGTTTTACTTTCTGCTTACTATAAAATTAATTCCTGGTATGTTCTGTTGTAGTTCTCAAACTTAAACAACACAGTTGCTTTAAAACAAAATCATTCCTATTATTGCAGCATTATCAACAATCACTGACTGCCAATGCTGTTTGTATTTCTTTTCTCCTGGGATGTTTGAACTTGGGCAAATTTTTTTCCTGTTCTATGCTCACAGTAGACCCTCACCAAGGATGTCTGTTCTTGCTTGAAATTCATTGGCAGTGGAGAAAGTTTATATATAGTTAGTACCATCTAAAATGAGGTTGAGACAGTTCATTTCTCTTTGCAGGTCACTGCCCACTAGAGTTAACTTGTATCCTGCTCTGTTCATCTGAGCAGTCATTTTGCTTTTCAAAGTTGTGTGGATTACTTCTGGGCTGACAGTGTTCCAAGCAGCAGTGAGACTTCTCATCATGTCACAAATATGCCATATAATGTACGAAGTATATCTAGCATATAATTTTTGATTTATTATGTGTCTCAGCCTAATGGTTGCATACAGCCATGCTACTACCAGATTTTTTTTTTAAGTCCACTTGTTTTAATTTAAACTTCCAAAGATTGTGTGTAGTTTATTTATCAACCAGTATAGAACACTCATACTCTAAGAAGCTTTTCTAATTGCAGGAGCCATACCTAAAACAACTTGCCAGGTATCAGTGCATTTTCATACAGACAGCAAAGTTGTGTTTATAATGGAAATTTTTTCCAATTTTCTTGTGATTCTAATTTCTTGCTACTCTCAGCACTCTAGCAAAGGAAGACTAATAGTCTATCTTCATATATTTCTCTTACTCCCTAGCAACATTTCTCTGTAGGAGTGCATGTTTGGTTTAGATGTGTCCACATGGACATATTTATTCAGAACAGGCCTCCCATTTTTAAGTTCATGCTCTATTGTAGATGCTTTACTTTTTAGGAATAGTGACACAATACTGTGATAGGCTAAAAGCACTGGAACTAGCCACAGAGACTTGGTATTAACCTCTCTATGAAATGCAATTTCATTAGTTTTATCAGAAAATAAACAAAAATCAAAATATATGCTTTGATCTGGTAAACTAATTAAAGCATTCATTTACTAATTTGGCATGTTTAACTCCTCTCATTGTTAACAACTTTGCTTCCTTCTTTTTTTTTTTTAATCTTGTCATGATTTTTAAGGAACATAAGGACTCTCCACTTCTTCAATCATTTCACTGTAGATTTTTCTTCCTTATTCACTAACCTTCCTTATTCACTACCACAATAGAACTCTGTGCATGAAGTGTAACAGAAAAAACATGATAAACAGAACCTGAACATTCTAATAATAGCAAGACTGGGGAGACTGGCTTAGTGAGGGAACTGGAAGTGCAGTACTGATGAAGCAACAAATTTTAAGTTAGAGTAATAAAGCTGATGTCAAATTTCAAAGAAAGGGCTAATTTTAACCATATTGGTAACTAATTAAAATTATATCTTTTAAACTAAGAAATCCTAATGACTGAGGTAGATGATGCTGTTATCAGATACTGAATTAGGTTTAAGGTATAAGGGAAAGAAAGCACTGATGTAAAATTATCTTCATTTAAATTCAGATGGATAATTAAGAATGCTTCCAATTCACCATTCTAAACATGAAATCCAGGTATGACCTATCTGGTGCTCACTTTTCTATTTGAAGATGAACTCAGCAGTTGGTGAAAAGATCCACACGCTAACAGAATGGCAAACCACAAAACAGTTGTCCCCGTGAAAAAAATCAGTTACTCTGCGTTTGATATTTCCACCTGGGCTCATTCTCAACTGTTCAGGATGTGGATTCCTGAAGGTTTCTTCAGCATTTAACTAATTCTTTGTTGGATGAAGGGGCCGGGACTGTTTCTCCACACATAAATTGATCCTAAGACAGAATGAGAAATGACATTGAGTTCTATATCACAGGTGCATTAATACTACCTTCATTTTGTTAGAGATTCAATCCAATTGTTAATTCTCCCATTGCTATATTGCTTCATTCTTGTTCAAGGCCAGCACTAGAATTAAAATTTTAAAAGTATACTGGTATTCAGTACTGAATTCATCATTTAATAAATGCCTTATAAACATGCCCATCTTCACTTGCAAGCTACCATTTCTTGGAAATAATGTAAGGGCATGTTACATTTTCTAAGTTTTTACATTCATTATTTCAAATTTTGGTCATTTGAAGTTATATCCTTTTCAAACTAATCCCTTCTTTCAACTAGAAGGAATAGGTCTTTATGTGTTTTTCCAACACAGATAATCTGTAATGTTAGATACTTTTTAAATGAAATCCAATCTCTGATAATTTATCCTGATTTATGTCAACTGCCACAAGAACACTCTGCCTCCCAGGCTACCCCTGCAATCTGATCCCTGAAGGATCAGCTACTACTCTGTCCCTGAGGCTCTACTCTTCCTGCCTCTGGAATTCTTCTACCTTGCTCTTTGGAATTCATGGTCCACAATGGTCCTTATTCTCAACTCTTCTTTAAAGTGTTACTTTGCCCCTAATGTCTGGAAACATTTTAGGCTGATGCACCTGAGGGTTGCTTACTATCATCTAATGGGAAGAGCCCAGGGATGCAGCTAAACATTCTACTAAGTACAGGTTAGCTCTGCACAACAATGCTAGGTTGAAATGAAGTTATAACCCAGCGCAGTTTCCCCTAGGTCCCCTTCTAGTGTTTTCAGAGCCCTAGTACCACAGGGATTGGAAGTGGGATTGGCTCTTTTCTGTCCCCATTCTCTTCCCTTCTCTAAAATCAACCAACTTTGAATCTTATCTCATGAGACCATACCATCACTAATCTTCTCTGTTGCTGCATCTATCCATCCCAAATCCCATATTTCAACCCCTCTGGACTTCTTCTTTATCCCTACCACCTTTTCAGAGTCCCTCATTCCCTAGATGTTCTCTTTACCTAAGTTCACATTCAATGGTCAATTATATCCGCTCTTCTCTATTCACTTGGCGAAACCACAACAATGGTGAAATCTAACTTTCAGTGTCTATAATGATGGAGCTGAGGATTTATGACCTGAAAACCTCTGATAATCCTCTATCACTACCAGTTATTGTACCATGTCTCTGCTTCTCTTTGTAGCAAACTATTTTAAAGAAATGGTCACACTTATTGACTCCTATTTCCCCATTCTTTTTTTTTTTTTAAAGATTTTTTTTTAGTTGTTGATGGACCTCTATTTTATTTATTTATATGTGGGGCCTTACACATGCCAGGCAAGTGCTCTACCATTGAGCCATAACCCCAGCCCCTATTTCCCCATTCTTTCTGACCTATTTCCCATCTACCAGGTTTCTCCAATCAGGCTGTCCCCAGTCCCTCCCTGAAACTGCTCTCAACACCATCATAAGTTAATTGTGTGTTGCCAAAGCCAATAGTATATTCTCAGTTTTCTTCTAACAGTGGAATCTGACAAGAATCTCATTCCTCCCCCTTTTCTCATCTGGCTCCCAGGATATGGCACTGTTGAATTTCCTCCTTCTGCAGTGTTTGCTCCTTTTCAGTTAGCTTTGCACATTCCTTAACTTCTTCCTTGACCTTTTAATACTAGAGCACCTCAAGACTCAGGTCTTTCTTTTGTCCATTTCATCTATATTCAAAGTCCTGGGGATCTCATCCAATATCCTGGCTCTGAATACTATCTTTTGCTGGTAACTCCCAAGTTTATACTGCCAGCTGTCATGCATATTCAATTGCTTTCTCAGAAGCTCCACTTGGATGACAAATAGCCTTCTCAAACTTAGTATATCTACCTCCCATCTGTGTACCTATAGTTCTGTAACCCCAGCTGTTAGTAATTCTACCCTTCTAGCTAGATCAAAAATGCTAAAATCACCCGATTCCTCCCATACTTTAATTCCAACCAGCAAGAAAATCCTTATCTTTCAAAGTGTATATAGAATCCAACCACTTCTCACCACCTCCATTGCTCCAGTCTAAGCCATTTCTTGCTTTGATTAGTGTAACAGCCTATTTGGTTTTCCCATTTCTCTCCTTGCTCCCTCAGTCTACTCTGAACCAGAAGCCAGAATCATCCTTTTGAAACATAGGTGGGGTTATAGCATTTCTGTTTAAAAATCCTCCAGTGGTTCCCTCCATCATTCACAGTAAAAGCCAAAGTGTCTCTTCAAATCCTTGTGATCTGCCCCACTCTTTTCATCTTGAACTACTTTCACCCTCATTTGCTCTAGTCACTGGCCTCTTTTTTTTCCCTTGACAAAACCAGGTATATTCCTGCCTTAAGATCTCATCAATGAATGTTAATTTGCCTAACTCTATGTCACATATGTAAATAGCTCTCTCTCTCATCTTTTTCAAATCTTTACTTATATAAGGCCTTTCTTAATAAATAATGTCATTAGTACCTTATTTTAAATTATAGCCTCCTCCCAGACTGGCACTCCGTATTTGTTATAGAACACATTTTAACACAAGAATAAATTATTGAAGTTCTACATTATGGTCTAAATTATAGCCTACTTCTCTTGAAGTCTTGTCTGCACTTTCCCTATACTAATATTAGAGTTCATTTTTAAGAATTCATTAGAAAAATAAAACTTTGGGGGAGAGTGGGCAGTAAAAAGATTTAGTTTTTTCTATCATCAATATCCTTGTGAAAGACAATAGGATAACTGAAGAATAAAATGCAACTTCAAAATGGCAATGAGGAATTATATTCAAACAAGATACTCAAGTTCTACATATAAGCTAAGCAAGAAATAATATGTAACTGTTCCTGTCAAAATGTGTCCAGGGGCTCTGAAAATAATTTAGTTACATATGAAATAGAGGAACAGAGTGTCAATTAAGACATTTAAAATTATTTTTCTTGTATATAATACATAATCATTTCCATTAAAGAGCAGTTTTCTTTATCACTCTCTTCAAAGCTAAAATGAGTTACATAATCAGAACTGTAAATTTTAATTTATGATATGGCTGTTAATTAGTAATTTTTAAAGCTTGTTTTAAAAAAAAAAAAACAGCGCGCGCTTAACCCAGCACATTGTTAAGGAACAATCTTCTGCATTTACTTATTACAGCCAGGCTGCTCTAAGTCCTTGCCACTGTCTCACACTCCGCCCCCCCCCCCCCCCATTTAAAAATTGACCCCTTACTTTGTCATAAATCACTTTTATAATGAGAGAGCAGCTAGGACACGTTGCCACGTCTTCCCCATTCTCCAAATCTTCCTATAACGAAATCAAACAACTTTTGGTCAGCACAGTCTTCCCTTCGCTATCTCCTCCCCATCAAACCTCTCCCACCTCTATGTGGCTTGCCTCCCTGCAAGGTGGGTGCGAGCCCAAAGAGCCTTCCCCCTCACTTAAGGGAAACACCCAGGAAGGTCAGGAGAAGTTCCGTTACCTCAAAACCCCTGGGAAACAAAAACGATTCCTCTCTTCCAAAGAAGTATCCCGGGAAGGGACCCTTAAGGGAGACCGGGGAGTAAAAAAACCGGCTCTCCTTGAGACACCCACTCCCGGACTAAACTGAAGGCCAGAATGATGTGCCCGCTGAGAGTTCAGGGAGAGGGATGGGTTTGGAAACAGGGAACAGAGAACATGGGTGACTCAGGGCCGCAAGGATGACTGAAAGCAAATGCGCTAGGAACAGAGCACAGCGAAAACGCGCCTACTCTAGTGAGTCCCCGCGCGGGTCCCTGAAGTTACCTTGGTGATGGAAAAGTTATCCCCACATGGACAGGGGTAGAAATACGTTTCGGAGTCTTCATCATATTGGAAGTCCTCGATCTCCACCTCGTCGTGAAACACTGCCATGGGGTCGTTGGGGCCGGCAGAGGGCAGATGCCCCAGCCGTCTGACAACGCCTCTGTTGGTCTAACTTCCCGAAAGCCGGCTGGGACCCCGCGCCGTCACCACGCACAGGGGCAGGAACTACCGCTTCCGGCGCATAGACAATGACGCGACTCCGGCCTTGGCCGCCAAATGGGTGACCGGGTCCCGGTCACCATGGAGATGATTGAGTTACAGGTAGAGACACTGGAAAGATGGCGCTTCCTGCTCAGCAGTGTCGCGCAGCCCTACTCCCATTGGACAGCAGCCACCAATAGAATGCAAGGCTCGCTCGTGCTGCCATTACGTCACCCCGTGGACCTCGGAGGCTCCACGGCGGAGGCGTGGAATTTGGAGCTGGGCTATAAAGTCGGTGTCCGGGGCGGCTGTAGTGTGCAGCTCGTCGCTGACTTCAGGGTCTCAAAAGGTCCGCTGAGGGCTGCAGCTTTCACCCACCTGGCCCTCAGGAAGAGGAGGGCGTCGCTTTGGTTCCAGACGGCGGTAGGAGCAGCTCAGCGTGCTCTCTACCCCTCACGGGTGACAGACAACCAGCTCTCTGGAATTTCGCTTCAGCTAGTGACCTTGAGCCCAGGGCGAAGCCCAACTTATATCTCCTGGCGCAGGTACATACCCGCCTCTTCCTTCACCCCAGACATCTTCAAATATCCCGTTTTGTGTTGCTGAGAAGACCAAGATCTGGAAGGCAGGGACTGAATTCTAGTTATATATTTGCCAGGCATATAACATCATTAACTACTATGATATGTAGTAACAGTAACATTATTGTTGTTATTCTTATTATTGGTAGTTGTTATGTGCCAGATATTGAGCAAAGTATAATTCTCCCACTAAACCTGGGGGTTTAAATTTTCATTTTATTAATCTTTAAACTGAGGTACAGAGTGGGCATCTTGACTAACCTCACTTACCTAGGAAATAATGAAGAGCCTGGCCATCTCCAAAGCCCAGGAACAGACTACTAATGCGAACCCCAGTTTCTTTGTAAAAGGAACGTTGTGGATAGGTAAGATTATCAGTAGGAGGCCTGTGTATATCCTGAAGCTGAATGACAAAAAAAAGGGGTTTGTCTTTGAAAATAGTGCTAGTACCTGTTTTGGTACCACCCCCTCACAATGGGGTACTACTCCATTACTAGGCGGTTATTCACATACCAATAGAAAAGGAATGCAGTGTTGAAAAAGCACTGTTGAAAACCAGAAGATCGTGACTTAGAATCTGACTCGATTGCAAATGAGCTCTGGTTGGAGATTTACATTCTTCAGGCCCATTTCTCTTCAAGAAAACATTGGGCTAGAGATGATTCCAAGATCCCTTTCACTAGCATTCTTCTTTTACTTGGAAATCGAGTCTCACTTGGTTTGGCAATCAAATAAAACTTCACATTTTCATAACACATACTTAATACATCCTTATGCTTATGTACTTACACTCAAGTGTTTCCATGAAGTTATCAATTTTATGCACACTGGATAAGCTCTGCTTGGATTTTAGCCCTTGTGTTTTACTTTTTGTTTGTGGTACTAAAGATAGAACCCAGGGCCTCATACCTGATAGGCAAGCCCTCTCATGCTGAGTTTTATCCCCAGCCCTTAATTTTGAGGTATGGTCTGTGGAAGTTGCCCACACTGGTTTTGAATTTTAGATCCTCCTGCTTCAGTCTCCTGAGTAGCTGGGATTACAGTTGTGTGTCTTCAAGCTCTTTTAAAGCTTGAAAACATGAAGGCAGAGAAGTCTTTGGGAGAAAATTCCAGAAGGACACTAATGGAGTTGGTAGACAGTCATTTCAGAGGTTCCACAAACAATTTTTGCTAAATTGGAGATCTACCCAGCAATTAGGTAACATTTAAAACTTGTTGAGGGTTAACTGGAGATTCAGGTGTGTCTGGAGAAATCCCATTAAAGCCCACACAGCTGTGTGATTGCTCTTGGGATCACTTAGACACAAATACTTCCCAGATAGTCTTTTGGAGATAGGCGGAAGTGTTCCATTGATTACAGAACTTTCTTTAATTCTTACATGAGCCACTTTTGAATATACCGAAATGAATGCAAGTCATGTTTTGGTTTATAGGAAGCATAAATTGGAAGGTTCATTTATAATTATATATTATTTATATATATATATATATAATTTTTTTTTCTTTGGTGCTAGAAATTGAACCTAGGGCCATGTGCAAGTTAAGCACATGCTGTTTTACTGAGCTAGAATTACAGTCCTTGTAGGCCTTTTGGAAAGCAGTTTGGACTTATTCAAAACAGTTTGCTGCCAGGCATGGTGGCATATGCCTGTAATCCCAGCTGCTTGGGAAGCTGAGGCAGGAGGATCGAGAGTTCAAAGCCAGCCTTGGCAACTTAGCAAGGCTCTAAGCAACTTAGTGAGAGATCCTGTGTCTAAATAAAATATAAAAAAGGGGCTGATGTGGCTCAGTAGTTAAGCACCCTTGGGTTTAATCCCCACTACCCCCCCCCCCAAAAAAAAAGGAAAAAAACCCACCCAAAACATACCAGTTTTCTGGAGCATCTTAAAATCTTAGGTTAAAATCCTAAAAGTTACAGGGGATGTCAGGTAGTTTCTCTTTGTAATTTTATAACTTTAAGAATTATCTAAAATGGAAAAAAGCAACACACCACTTATTGGTCGTTGACATGTGCCAGGCACTGTACAAATCTTTTGTAGGCATTATGTTGTTAAAACAACCCATTGAGGTATAGGTATCATTAACATTGGGAAACCTGATGGTTAAGGCAAATTAGTGAGTTGCAGTGAGCCATGGTGACAACTCGCATCTTTCTGATCCTAGAATTTAGGCTCTTAATTAACTGCAATGCCATTTATGATGTGATGGTGTTTCAAGCAGGGTAGTTGAAACAAACATTGATTTGGTTATGCTGATTCCTCTGAGACCTAGTGTTGGAGATGGAGGGGATTATTCTAGGCCTTCCATTACTGCTTTTATCTTACCACCTGTTGTTCATCCCTTTGGCCACAGGTGGTTCCTCTTGTGGTTCTGACCAGTTTGAGCTTGACTGTGAACAAAGAGAAACCATAGTGAAGCACATGATGTATGTTCATTTTTTGTTTTGTTTATTTACCCAGTGTAGTTAAAGAAAACATTGCCGTGACTATTGATTTTTACATTTATTCCTAAAAAGGAATAGACACATTTTGTAAATACACATTTTTGAACCCTGAGAGAGTGACAGAAGCAGATTTGCTTGTTGCTATTGTCATTTGAGATCACAAGTTTATCTTTTACCATAAATGTTAACATTGTTTATATGGAAAGTAACAGTGACCAAAATTCTTAGTATAATATCAGATTTAGAACTGGGTCATAACTGTGTAACAAACTGTATTTGATGACTGCTGTTATGTATCAGGCCAGGGGGAGTTGTTTATTGGCACTATCAAATCACTACTTCTGTAGGTCATTTGGCAAAGAGAAGGGGGTTTTTAAGTTTTTAAGGATTTTGTATTAACACTCTTGCTTACCGAGTACTTCACAGGTGTTATTTTATTTATTCATTTCATCAATCCAGTGAAGCAATGTGGGTGTTGTTAAAATGGTAAAAGATGCTTTGCCCCAAATTGGAAAAGGGCAAGAAGGAGTCAAATTTGAGCCTAGTTCCACTGATTCAAAGTCAGGCACACTCCTCATACCACTTGTATACCACTGAGTTTTCCTTACCAACCCTGGAGTCCCATTGCTTCCTCTGTGACATCTAGGTTTCTGAATTGACAAGTGCCAGATTGGTCTTCAAATTTACCCCATTGCAGGGGATTCATGGTCTTTGAGGCATTCTTGTTGCATTTGCTGCTGTCATATCTCATCCAATTTATCAGCAAGTTGTAGGGCTCTAATTTCAAAATAATTTCATGTGAATCTATTTCTGCCATCTCTGTAGCTCTTATCCTTTCATAATGCCCCCTCCCCCTGCCCAGCATTGGAGATTGAACCCAAGGGCACCCTACGACTAAGCTACATCTTCAGCCCTTTTTATTTTTGATTTTGAAACAAGGTCTCACTAACTTGCCCATGCTGGGCAACTATTTAATTTAATCTGGAAGGAACAGATTAAATTTAAGATTTGAGACAAATTACAGTGATTTCAGTTCAACAAATACATTCAGTTCATTCAACAATTCCAGGGATGCCAGGCACTATTTGTCATGTCATCTCCTTGGACATGGAGTAGGTATATCAGTTTTAAAATAAAAAAAAAAAAATTATAATTTTTCTGTTTTAGAAATAGTTACAAATTTTGAACTTGTGATCCTCCTGCCTTAGCCTCCTGAGTGCCTGGGATTACAGGAGTGCGCCACCACACCTACACCTAGTTCCTACCGTACTTTTAGACTGGAACCTCCTAACTATATTTTCTGCTTTCCACTTTTGCCCTTGGATAATCCATTCTTCACACAGCAACCTGGGTAATCATTTAAAAATGGATCATGTCCTCCTGATTTATTCAAACTTTTCAGTTGCTTCCTAGTGACTTGGGGTAAAGTCCATTTGCCATGGCCTACTGTGATTTGGGTCTCAATTACTTGCTCAACTTTCTTTCATTCTCATGTGGATTATTAAATTTTAGCCTAAAATGTTAACCATACTGCTCTCTGGTGTCACTGACCTTGGTTCCTTTAACATGCTAGACTTTTCCCTTGTTTTTGCCTTTGTTCTTGCTTATCCCTGTGGCAGAATGCTCTGCCCTTAACATCTGCTTAGTTGCCTCTTAATTGTTCTGGTTTCAGCTCAAGTGTGATCACTTCAGAGAGGCCTACCCTGATATTCCCCCACTTACCTACTCCATCTCCAAGGAGATGACATGACAAATAGTGCCTGGCATCCCTGGAATTGTTGAATGAACTGAGTGTATTTGTTGAACTGAAATCACTGTAATTGTCTCAAATCTTAAATTTAACCTGTTCCTTCCAGTAATTTGTTTTAGTACTTCGTTATGGATATCAGTTTTATCATTTATGATAATTTTTCTGTTTTAGAAATAGTTACAAATTTTTGGTATAGTTTGTGAGGATATACACATCTATGGAATATTCATTATATAGTTTTGGAAATTACTTAATATATGTTGATCTCCTTTGATTAAACCCTTTGGATATGTGAGTAAAATCCTTGGACAGGTAAAAGTGGGTAATTTTTTTAAATACCTTATTCTAAAGACTGGCATTAAAAACTTATAAAGGCACTTTGAATATTTTTTAAAAATGCACTTTATTTACCAGTAGGTGGCATTCTTGGTCATGATGATGATTACAGAATTTTAGAATTTTAAGAGAATAGCTTTTAAAAATTAAAATTTGCTTCCAGTTGAGAAGTAGTCTATTCAAACAGCATAGTCACTAAGATGTATTCTATCGTAAAGACAATTTATTTTAGCAGTAGCTGTCTAAAACAGCAGAACAATATTTTATATTTAACTGTATAGCAGTTAAATTTAATTGGAGAACCTGATCTCAAGTGACATCTAACTGTCATTTTAGCCTGTGACTGTGGTTGTACTTTTTTCAGTATGGTAGGATCTCAAACTGAGCAGAACCATAAGAGGAACCACCAGTGGCCAGACAGGGCAGGTGGCCAACAGATGGCAGGATGAAAACAGTATAGGGTATGGTACAGTTGGGTGGGTATCCTAAGTTAAGGAGGTGGGTATCTAAGCAGGAGGATGAACAAGAGAAGCAATAAGATAAAAAAAAAAAGAAGTAGAACCATGAGGGGGAAGAATTGAGAATGGCCTTGCTGTGAGGTCATGCCTCTGATTACAATGAGCCTTTCCTTTCACAACTGATACTTACTAGGTCTTTTTCTCAGTTTCCTAAATCATTGTTTTTACGTGTTGTCCTTGTCCCTGTTATCACAGGAACTTGGTGAGAATGTCAGTATAAGGAAAAACTTTCCATGGTCCAGCCAGTGTACATCCAGAGATGTCAGTGTAATACCAGTGGCAGACTGTGTCAGTCAGTGAACCAGCCATATCCTGAATGACTCCTAAAATCTCATGGACTTCTAAAGTAAGTTTCACCTTCTTTTGGTGATGAAAAATCATTTTTGGTTTAGCACATTTAAAGGAGAGAAACTACATTTAGTAATATTGCATGAGGTGAAAAAGGCCTTATGCTTTTTTTCCATTTACTAGAAAAAAGTAGCCCATGGCATGTTTATTTGTAATCAAGCTGCATCATACAATGGCAAGAAGAGTTTTTATCTAAAGACTAGTTACGAAGCATTGGGCTTTTTAAAATTTTTTTTTAGTTGGAAGATGGACATAATATTTTTATTTTTATGTGGTGCTGAGGATTGAACCCAGTGCCTCACACATTGCAAGGCAAGTGCTGTACCACTGAGTGAGCTCCAGCCCAGAGAGTAGACTGACAACTGTATTTGACCTGATGAGCACCATCCAATTCTTTAATATTTCTTGCCAGAAATTAGTGCAAGAGAAAGACAAATTTACTGAGGTTCTCAAATATTTAAAAACCAAAACATATAAGAATACTTTTCAGAATATCCCAAACTAGAAAATATCCAAAAAGGCTACTAATAGAGTAAACAAATTTTGCAGCTTGTGTCTGCATACATGTTCTCTTTTGATCTCCCAAATCGGCCACATGCTGCATGATTCTGTCTTCAGAGGACTATATATATGACCATATCTTCCATTCTGTAAGATTATAATGCTGAAAATTTCCTGTTGCCTTATGGCATTGAAGCCTTTGTAACATCTCAGAACAGCATGTTACTCATGCTTGTGATGATGCTAGTGTAAACAAACCTACTGTGCTGTCGCTTATATAAAAGTATAGCATGTATAATTATGTACTGCTGCTTGTCAATTGACGTTTATTTTATTATATGCAGTGCTGAGAATTGAACCCAGTGCCTCATACATGCTAGGCAAGTGTTGTACTGCTGAGCCACAACCCTAGCTCTTGTATTGCTACTTGTAAAGTTTACTATAAAGCAATATGCTGTGTTATGCTGGCAGCAGCCTTTTATCTCATGGTTACTGCATTTCTTGATTGCATTAAGAGGCCATGTTGAGTAACCTATGCTGTGTAGGTTTGTGTAAGTTCTATATGATGTTTGTATAATGACAATATCATCTGATGAAGCAGTTCTCAGAATGTATCCCCATTATTAAGTGATGCATGACTGTTTTGTTAGCATCAAGAATTACATACTTACATGCTGTACAGTTACACTGAATCGGTTCTGAATGATTGCAAAAATTGTCAGGTAAAGTCAGGCCCTTTGCTAACTGAACAACTCATAACTGTACCAACAGATTGAAACTCTTTTTCACTGTTTCTTTAAATAGTCTGATGTTTCCCCAATTTTTCTTAAAATAATTTTAAACTTCATTCTTTTGTTTGCCCAGGAAGTACCATGGCCTGTACTGCTTTCTTGATTTCTGGGTTGTTGCGAGGCTATGTGGGAGCAGTCTGCACTCGGGCTGCTGCTTCGAAGTTGACATCCAGCACTTCTCGCCCCCTTACTTTCACGAGGTGAGTCATTAAGCCTTCAGAGCTGCTGAGGGTTGCGTGAAGCATATCAGACTCCAGAAAGAGGCAGCATCTTGGCTTAAATATGCCTATCATTAATAGATCATTAAACTTCTGACCATTTTATAGGATCCATAATATGTTGTATTTTGGATAACTGTGATATTACAGGGGAAAATAATTTATTATTTTTATGAGGATAATACTTAATAACCTAATTTTACTTTTTATTAAAGCATAATGAAATCCAAAAGGAAAACTGATCACTTGGAGAGAACTGCAAGTGTCGTTCGCCGGGAGGTCTGTATCTTTTGGGCATGACAGGTTTTTCTGGTTGGACAGTTTGTGCATGGTTATGACAGGCTTATGGGGAAGGCAAGTTTGTTATTTTTCTTAAAATTTCTAAGGATATATGATAAATAATTTGAAAAGATGACAAAAGTCTTCAATTTTTCCTTTAAGCTTGAAATGAATGGGTTAATTTTTGAAGGCTGGAGTATGGCAGCATTAAGGGAAATATCCTCACAGGTTTGATGTTTAGAGTTACTTTAGAGATAGAACTACTTAGAGAGTCTATATTTTATGAATACCTTATCATTTCTTTTTTCTTTTTTTTTTTTTTGGACACCGTGTCTCCAAATCCTTGTTCATCCATACTTTAGAACCACACTTCCTATTTCATCAAGGGAGAAAGCACTAACATCTGAGAAAGGAAGGTGTACAGTTTTTCCACCATATTCAGACTATAGAGAGTTAATCTGCCACCTGAAGGGGTGTCAAGGGCTGAGAACTAAAGGATCCTCACCCTTTACCTCAGTGAGTAACTATTTTCATTTAAAAACATAAATGGGATATTTGATTTTGCGCTTTTGAGTGTTTTTCATATATTCAGATACGTTTAGCTTAGTATTAGGAGTCTGTTTAAACTATTAAAAATAAAAAGCTTTTTTTACACTTCTACGAATGTGATCATAAATTGTATTGGCTTAGTAGTTTTAGTGTTAATAGAAGGAGATTCTGTAATGTTTAGGCCCTACTTTAAATTAATTTAATTCTGCTTTCAGAAAATTGCTTTGGGATGGACTGAGGGTAATGTTTGTTCATTCAGCTTCATGGTGTTGTTTTGTTTTTTGAAAACTGGTTGAGAGGCTTGGACTGTGCTCTTACCTGTCAGTTTTGAGGCAGATAAATTAGAGAAGTGTTGCCAAACTTTTTAAGGATCAGATGGCAAATATTTTAGGCTTTATGGTCTGTATTGTTTCATTTACAACTACTAGCACTAATTCTCATGTGAATTAAGAACAAGTTGACAAAGTTTGACTATACTATATTGGATAACATAAAATCGCAAGTACAACAACTACCAAACTATCTTTATAATGTGAAAATATCCGTGATATGTACACAATTTGGTGTGACAGTTCTAATAAAACATGATTTCCCAAACAAAGTTGTCCTATATGTAATGGTTGCCAGTCCCTGAATTAGAGTAGTCATTTTAGAATTTTATAGGACAAAATTATTGGGACTTTGGGGTAGGGGTGATTTTGGAAGTTTAGGACAAAGAAAATTCATGTAAATTCTAATAGTTTGATTGAAAAGTTGAAAATTTTGGTGCTCAGATATCAGAAAATTATAGGATTAAAATTCTAATCAAGTAATTACTTTAGAGAAAGGATTTTTCCAATGGCAGTTCCTCTTCTCTTTTGTTTCTAATTTCCATTCTTCTAAATAGACTGAGAATTGGGAGATGAGAGGAATTGAGGAAAAGCTAGGTCCACCTCCTCAAGACATTCCTAGCCAGAGAGCAGGGCATGGTTTTGGACTTCTTGATATGAACAGACCTTGGGTTGTAACAGAGCTTGCCTTTAATGCAGTTGTACTGCACAAAACTCCCACAGGTCCATATGCTCTTCACCTCAAGCTCACGAGGTAGCCTAAGGATAGGAAGCCATCCACATTTTACAGAAGAGGAAACCTTGCTCAGGAGATGTCTTACAGCTTCTCCCAGGGCCAAAGGAAAGCTCCAGCATAGAATTTCTAGGCCAGAGGATCCTGTTTTCACTCTGGGAGTAACTAAAGATTGGAGCAGTCATTTGCTAAGAAATATTCTTTCAGCATTGGACATTGTGTTCCCTATGGAAAATCTGGGGAATTACAATTTATGATATTAGTGCTTCTTACTTTGGACTCTAAATGTAACCAGTCTGAAGTCATGTTGATATAGAAAGCTGGACTCTGAATTGAAGGACATTTGATTGTATTGAAGTTCACATTTTTTTTTTCCCCTTACAAACCAAAGAATAAGCAGTCTGGGTAACGTTAGAAATGTAAAGAAGATATATAAGAGTAGAAATATAAGAAATAAGTAGAAATATAAGAGTAGATTATAAGAGTAGAAATATTGTAAATATTGTAAGAATTGTTCAGGTAAGGCTAACATTTTACTAGAGGAGTCACTGTATTTGGCGACTGCAGAGTATTGGCCACTGAGTAAGGTGTATGCTATTATCAATTTGGGAGAGTTTAGCAATGAAAACAATTTTTAAACTTCTTATGCATTTGTTTGGAAATATGCCAGATACTGAGCTAGGGGCCAGGCATTGAAAATGATACAGATCCCTGTGCTCATATTTTAGTGGTGCTTTGGTCTGAAGAAATGACTTTATGCACCTAATTGATTTTGGAAAAAACAATTTTATTGCAACCATCAGTTTGCTTTTAGAAGCCCTTTTCATATTCTACAAAGCCTTAGTGTATTGTTGCCTTTTGATTTTCAAAGCATTTAATTATATAGTAGGTTGATACTTGGCTTGTCACAACCACCTTGACAGGTGTAGGGGTCTTTACTCCTGTTTCACAGGTGAGGGAATTAAGACTCAGCTATTTAGATAGGATTATCCTGTTTTCTAATTTGTCTGATATAGTATTGGTTTATGCCTTTTATTCCTAGAGTAATTATTAGTAGTACTGCCTTTTACTCTCAGAATTGTCCCATCTTAAATTGTATTGTTGGCCTGAGTTTAAAGAACTTCTTCAAGGAAGTGGAGAACCCGGCTCTTGAACTCAGATCTTTGTTAATCAAATCAGCTCTTACAACAAAAAAGTGGGGCAGAGTTTTGTTGAGCAGCATGTTACTGGGCGTAAGAAAAGGGAGAGTTACTGAGGTACGGTGAATAGTCAGTAAAGCCAAAGGGCCAGGTTCCTGGGGTGGAGGCTTTTGAGGATCCTATGGTTCCCAGTGCTGGTCTTCCAGTGCTTGACTTGTGGTTTTGCTCAAGTGGGGGTTTGAGTGGGAGGGGTTGCCTAGTAGGAGAATGGATTATGTCCTGACCTTAACCTTTACAATTTTCTGTTCATCATCACTCACGTATTTTGAGGAGATTCTATGGTCCTCTGTGAAGAAGGGGCACATCTCTTTAATACTTTTTTTCTGTAGTTTTATACCTAATTTGCTTTGATTATCAGAGCTTGATGGTCAAAGAACCTTTTGAAGATTAACTAGCTGGGACAAGCAGTGCTTGGTACTCCTAGCCTCACCACAGTGTCCTCAGTGACAAAGCAGAGGGTGGTAGAGAGGGACCTTGGGCACCTAGCATCTAAAGTAGTTGTAGGATCTGTAGGCAGGCTGGGCCATAAGCTCTTGTGAACTCCCAGGGAAGGATAGACAGTCTGGCCCTCTGGCAGCTGGCCTGTGGCTCTTAGTAGTGTACAGGTCACTGAGTTGGAGCCCACAAAGGAAATAGAGGCTCCTTGGGGAAAGGCATAGCTTAGTAGCTCTGTAACCACATTATCTTACACAGTGCTGACATGCTATAGACACTCAATACTTGTTTCATTGGGTAGAATAAGCAAGCATTAATCCCACTGTAGCTGATTACCTGTACTGCCTGATGAGTCACTTTCTGAAGCAGGAATGGTGGTAATATTCATCTTGAGATGAACTGATAGTGCTTATATAGTCTATCGTTCTTTACAAATAGAAGCTATGGAAAGCAAAATTTGCCTGAACTACTGCTGCTTATGTCCCCAAACTGGGTAGTCTCTAAAATGTTGTGGCAGTGCTTTTCACTGACACATTTTTGTTCAGTAAATGAAGCAAATTTAAGAGGTAAAACTCTTTTCCCTAAGGGGCCTAATCAAGTAAAATGAATTTTTATTTTAAATTCAGCCAACATGTATTGAGTGCCTGACATATGCCCAGCACTGTTCAGGGTACTAGGGTTATAATAGTGCATGAGGCAGCCAAGGTCCTTGCTGTTAGAGGAGCTTTGTTGTGGTGTGAATACCCCAAAGAATGTCACGTGATATACACTATGAAGGAAATAAAACAGGATTATGGGAGGCAATAGTGGCCCAGAGCAGAGTTACCATTTTAAATCTGTGCTTAACATTTGAGCTGAGACTTGAAGAAGGAAAAGAGCCAGCCATGTGCATAGCATTCCTGGCAGATGCCACAGTTTTGAGGCAGGAATAAGCTAGGCAAGTTCAGAGCAGAGTAAGTATATGAGAGGATAAGAGGTAGACAGGACCTACCTACAGATCACTGTGGGCTTGGATAGGGACTTGGGATTTTATTCTGAGCACAGTGGAAGGTGTTAAGCGAGAAAGAATTTTATTTCATTGTAAAAGAGTAATTTATTAGCTTGGTCGAGTGTTGGGTTTTTGTTGGGCTTTGACGCCAGGATGGAAGCTATTGACATAATCTCAGGAGAGATGCTGGTGGTGGTGGTGGTGGTAGGTTGGAGAGCAGGAGAGGTACAACCAGTGGGATTCACACAGGGGGTGGGTGGCTGTTAGAGAAGGAGAAACCAAGGTGATTTCTAGGTTTTGGGATTTGAATAATCTGGGGAGATAATGTGACGATGGTGGCAAATATTCACATAATGGAGAACAACATGTTTGGAGAAGGGAAGGAGCTCAGTTTGGGTATAACGTGGGGTGGGGAGAAGCAGGTAGAGTTACAAATGACATAAGATTAACTGAGTTTTTTTTTAATCAGTTCATAACTATTGATTCTGGGCCATTAGTACATGGAGGTGCATTATACCATTTTTACTGCTTCTATATATGTTTAAAAGTTTTCATAACAAGGGAGAACATTTGGGAGGAAAAAATGGTTATGTATTGAAAGTTAATTTTGAAATGGAAACTCAAATAGGCAGTTGTATATATGAATCTGGAGTTCACTGCTGGAAATAGTCTAAGCCATATAGAGAGGAAGAGGGCCTGGGACTCAGCATTGGCTATATCAGTAATTAGAGGCCACAGAAAATAGCAAGGACCAGCAAAGTTGATGG